GAGACACGCGAAGCGTGCCGAAGCCCTTCCGCTCTAAACGACGGGCCGTAGCGCGGTGGGAAGCTCGACAATACTTTTTGGATTGAATTTGGATTTTTCTCTTTTCGCGYYGTGCCCRCGCGCGCATTCYGCRACGYGMGAAAGCAACCRACTTACTTCATCGGACCAACACGGGGGATTTCAGTTCCGTCTGTGTCCCCACACTCAATTTCCAAAAATCCTTGGCACACCCCATCTTGCTGTTTTTCTGGGCCTCTTTCCGCACATCTAGCACTCCGAACGAAAGACAGCACAGGGCGTGAGGTTGGCGCGTCACACGTTTCACCCCAGTCTCCACTCCAGCCGCCAGTACGCCTCACACACGGATGTGTCACAACAGAGGGTTCAAAATTTGAAATTGGAACAGGGATGTTGGCGCCCTTTTTTTTTGTCAACCCGGTAGGCCTCCCTGCCGCCGCCACTAGACCACGCCCGAGGACGCACAAACATCCCAGCACGATGACAGACATCCAACCCCGCGGCCGCGTGTATGCATATGAAATGGCCGCTGGAGACCTCCAAGGGTTTTCCTTGGGACTCATTGAATTAGGACGCGGAAAACTGTAAAATTTTCCAAGGACTTCATCCTAATTCCTGAGGATTTTCCAAGGAGGGTCTAACGAGGCCCTTGCTCGAGGCCCGTGCTCTAGAACCACCGACTCTCAAATTTGAAGACGACTAGGGGACACAGCTACACGATACCTAAAGGTCGAAAATGAGGCTGCACCAGGGGATGGACGGAGGAATCCAGGAAAAGGGCCAGTTGCAGGCTGTGCACTCCAGAACTCTAGGAAAAGGGCAAGTTGCAGGCTGTGCACTCTAAGACATTTTGCGAGTAGCGTTCAGGAGCGCTTTCTGACAACTCTCTAAGGGGATTTTTGTGAGTCCCCTTTGAGAGTGACGGGTTCGCGAGACCAGACTCACAAATTTCCGTTAGTCCAGCGGAGTGGAGCCCAACCCTTTTTTTTTTTTTTGAATCATCTTTGAGAGGCCTACTTGAGGAGCTGATAAGAGCGCCCTCCGCGTATAGGACCCCAATGGAAGATGGCTCCAATCTATTGGTTGGGAGCTCTCCATTTCACCTACCATACCCGGAACCTCGTAGCAGCCATAACCATGTTCACGAGAGAACATCCAGGGTCTTCTCCCGACCTGCAGGTGGGCGGTACCAGCCAGGGGAGTCAGGGACCATGCCAACAGGATCTATCCCTGTGCCTCCCGTCAGGTCCCCTCCCCTACGAACATCAGCAGACTCTGCTCAATGCGGATCCAGGAATCCAGTGGTCTATCTCTAGGTGGTGGGCGCCAAGCATGCCCAGGAAGGAGGTGTGCAAATTTCCGATCACCCCAACTTTGGTGCGTTCTAGTTCCGATCACCCCAATTTTTTGCTGGGGACTTTTTCTTGCTGGAAATCAGAACTAAAACTCGCCAAAGTTGGGGTGCTCGGAAATTTGCACACCTCGCCCCCAGTCTGAACCCCCCAAGAAACCAACCGCTACCGGTCCCAGTCTTGCACAACCCCTCTAGTACCTATATGGCGCGGACCAACGCCCTCCGTGCAGACTGCACCCTGCTATACCGCAGCTTTTTTTTCTTTTTTCTTTTTTTTCAATTTTATTTACCGCAGCTTTCTAGCTAGCAGCTCAGGCCACGAAGGCAAAGAAGATCCAGCCCGCGTGGCGACGTGAGCGGCACTAGTTCTCTCTTTCCCCAGACCATGAGCGACGTCCACGGCCGTACGTTTTGTGGTGAAGGGCTAAGGTCGGAAATGAGATGTTCAGCGAGCCGCGAGGAGTGCTTCCCAGGAGGCTGTCGTAGACGGGTTGAATCAGCAGAGACGAATCGTGCGACCCCCGTGCGACCCCCGTGCGACCCAGTCCGCTCGGCCGCACCGGTAGGCGATCGGATACGCAAGCCAGAGTTTCTTGTTTCTTTATTAGTTTGCGTTCTGAACTGAACGTCTACCTTTCGTGCGATGACACAGGCTTTTCCTCTGTGACGCAAGGGTTTCCCTTTCCGTGCTGAAGTCCTCTTTCCTTTTGCATCAGTGTCCCCGAGGCCATGTCGCAGTACAGGTAGCGAGCTCTACAGCCGGAATGACCCACAATACGCTGGGCCCTGGACCAGGGGCAAGGTCCCACTTGCGCAAATTAGGAGATTTCGGCCGTTGATCCTTGCTATCTACGGTCAGTATCTCTTAATTCGTGCAAGTGGGACCTAGCCCCTATATGACAAACAAAGGGGACCGGGGGGAGGGGGGAGGGGGTGTGGAGGAGGTACCTTCTGGAAGTCCAGCGATCGAACGGAGATACTAACGTGGACGGTCTTTATCCAGGAGTGCCGTAATGTGTGGTTCCCTCTTCAAGGGCATGCGTGTGTGGAGTGTGAATCAAGACCTCGTGTCGGGATAGAGCGGGAGGTCGTCGCACACACACAAGAGGTAGCAGTGGTGTGGAGGCGGCGACGATGACTGACTGGTGGGACCGTACCGGTCGGCTGATTCATCGAAACCGTAGATCATACGCATCTACGGTTAGATCTCTGATCAGACTCGACACGGTGCTCTGAAATTGCTGACGTTAGCGCTATGTTGTCATATGAGTCGTGCTAAGTCGGCATGCATGTACCGAGGCATTTTTCCGGTCAGATCCGTGCCCACATAGGATACGACATGACCTTTCGGCAATGTCGTTCAATTCTGTCGTAGTAACTACTGGTTTGGGACTATGGGACAGGGCCCATTGGTGCTATGTTTGTGCTTTGAAAGCATGAACCTTGTGTTAAACTAGCATAGCACGAGCAAAGCACGGGCATAGCGCGGGCACAGCACAGCACAGCACGAGCATAGCACCACTACCGGTAGGTAGAGGCTGGTCCGAACTACCTACCGGTAGGCAGGCCGTGGTCAGGGAAAATGGAGTAGGTTTGGCGGGGGGAGAGAGGCACGGGGAACGACATGTCCCGACCGGACTGGCGGACCAGCGGGGACCAGCGGTCAGAATCGGAAGGCGCGCCGGTTGTTGTCCGCCATAGCTTGCTCGCCGCCGCCGCTGCGGGCTTCGCGATTCTCAGGGGAGCGCTCCTCTCCACCGGCCGCCAGGCTTCGCGATTCTTCCAAACTGTTTCTCGCGCGCGAGTCCTGAAGGTTCGGTGCCGTGCGTCCCCGCGTCCCACTCTGCCCTCCCCGCCGCGCATCTTCAGCGCTTCCCGGTCTTGATGCGTCCAGGCCTCACCGGACAAGCGCGCGAATTGCGCGGTGATTGTGCCGGTCTTGGCGGGAGAGGAGTGTGGGCGGCGGCCTAGCTGAGAGTACCTCCTGGGCATTGGACACGTGGACGCTACTAGCCAAGTGGTGGTGGACACCGCAGAACTCGGCTGTCGATACATATCACTCGGTGTCGCCGTGTTGTCGGCAGCAGTCGCTCAGGCATTGTCTTGAAAACTCCTGTCTCACGCTCCTCCATTGTCCCATCTCGCGCACTCTCTCTCCGGAGCGAACGGAACACGAAGCGAAGGCAGGCCAGGCAAGGTCGAGCGCTACGAGTTTCGCGTTCTGTGGTAGAGAGTGTGTCTCTTGGCTTTGGAGTGTAGCCCAACTTTGTCGACTTCCATTTCCCCAGCTCGACGGCTCGCGGAAGCGGAGCGCGGCGCAGGCGCAGGCGCAATACTCACCGCTCGTGTATCGCCCGTTGATAGTCTGAGAACTGTCCTTGCTCCTTCGTTCGGTCGCTCCTATCTACCGGAGTCGGATTGATTGACTGGTCGAGAGAGAGAGAGAGAGAGGGGGAGAGAGAGATTGACTTGCGGGAAAGAGTAGCTTCGCGTAATCGCTGACGACGAAAATGAGTGCCGTAGCATGCAGCTCTCAGGCCTTCGCGGCTGCGCAGGCGGCTTCCAGCCTCGGCAATGGGATAGGAGGACAACAGAGCAAGGAGGCGGTGAGAGCAGGTCGTAGAGCTGTGTTCCAGGGTAAGAACAGCGGCAAAGTGTTTTTTGGCAACAGCTTGAAGTCGAAGGATGATTTGTTGTGCTGCTCGCGGGGGTTCAGAGCTGCCGTGATTCGGCAGACGCGCAGACGCTCGTCGAGGAATGGCGCCGGCAGCGGCGGTGCGATGAATGTGGTCTGTGAGAAGGTCGTCGGAATTGATCTCGGGACCACCAACTCCGCCGTCGCGGCGATGGAGGGAGGCAAACCCACCATTGTGACGAATGCGGAGGGGCAGCGAACGACCCCGTCGGTCGTTGCGTACACGAAGAACGGCGACCGCCTCGTCGGACAAATTGCCAAGAGACAGGGAGTCGTCAATCCCGAGAATACCTTCTTCTCAGTCAAAAGATTCATCGGGCGGAAGATGAACGAGGTGAACGAGGAGTCCAAGCAAGTGTCCTACCATGTCATCCGGGACGAAAACGGGAACGTCAAGCTCGATTGCCCGGCCATTGGAAAGCAGTTTGCGGCGGAGGAGATATCTGCGCAAGTTTTGAGGAAGTTGGTCGAGGATGCGGCCAAGTTCTTGAACGACAAAGTCACCAAGGCTGTGATCACTGTCCCGGCCTACTTCAACGATTCCCAGCGGCAGGCGACGAAGGATGCGGGGAGAATTGCAGGAATTGAGGTTCTGAGAATTATCAACGAGCCGACGGCGGCGTCTCTGGCGTATGGCTTTGAGAAGAAGAGCAACGAAACAATCCTGGTCTTCGACCTTGGAGGCGGGACTTTCGACGTGTCAGGTTGGTCCCAGTCCCGCTGTCTTTTTCCTCATGTCTTCCTTCCCCTTTGTTGCTCGAGATGTGAGTTCTCACAGTCTACTGCGGCGGAATGAAAGCTTGACCTGACTTTTTTTTTTTTTGTAATTTAAAAATTTGGACAATTTCTCGATTTATGCATGTTATCCTTTCGTAGGGGCCATGGTAATAATCTTCTGTGTCGTTCCAATTTTAACGGATGTCCGGAAGGACTGACCTGACGACTATGCGTGTACAGGGTTTGAACCAGCGCGAACGTCTTTTGCACCGCCGTGGTCCTCGGGTAGACCATTCCCCCCCTTTTTTTATTTTTTATTTTTTAAACTCCCCCTCTTTTAGTTGGTACATTGGATTGATTATCTGACGATCAATCGTTTTTTGTTTTTGTTTCTGTCGTGGTTTGTTTTTGTTTCTGTGGGGTTTGGCCCGATCATTGAGAAGTTTGTGGTGATCTATTCTGATTCTGAATGAAGGTTACTCGTTTCCTCATTTAGCTGCTTTGCCTGCTTGTTGCATGATGGATCTTGAGTTTGTTCGTTGTAGGTCAATGTTATTTTCTGTGCACGTCGGAGAGAGTATAGGCGTCGTATGCATGGCAGGCTCCTGACTCATTTGGCAGTGCGGTAATGTAGGGGCATTCTGTTGTCGTCCGTGCTTTTTTTTTTGTAATCTGCCTGAGCGGGAAGATGTTTCTGGCATGCCTCCCTGCTACTACCTTCTTCCCCCGAATGCAACGGACGGTCATTATAGCTGCATCTAGACTGAAAGCTGCCTCAAATACAGCTATAATGACCGTACGTTGTATTCGGGGGAAGAAGGTAGTATGTCGGCGTCAGAAGTCCTTGCCAGTTCTTTGACTAGGCGAATGATGTCTCTGTTTTCTTCAGTGGGTATTCCATTCGGTTAAACCACTGGCAGTACTTCCTAAAGTCGTGTGCCCGTTAACGCGCCACGATTTTAGGAAACGTACGGGACACTACAGGAGCGTCCAAATTCATCCGACAACTAGAAACGTTTCTACTCTATTTTTTCCGCGGCCGATAGCTGGGCCAAGTACTGGTGGTTTAATAGGGTATTAGGGTCGGGAGGGGGTAGTTTCCGAAGCGTCGCGGGAGGGAGGTGTATTAGATGAGGATGCTTCTGGATGTCCGTGCATGGAAGATTCCATTCGCCGTCGTCAGGGAAAGGTGGTAAGTGGATGGAAGAGTCGCCAGTGAGGCGGGTGTTGAAGGCGCTATGGCAGAGTGACACTTCGAGAGGAGCATGTCTGAAAAGAAAAAGGGGGAATGTAGTGAGATATAGTAATATCAAACGGAGGCGGAGATAAGAATTTACCAGAGGAAGCTGCAGAAGGGATTGATCTTAGGTCACTGAAGTGGCTTGTCGTTGCCGTATGCGGGATCCTCGTTCGTTGGGAGTAACGACGTTTAGTATTGTCCGCGGTCTCCCCGTCGTCTCACTGCCTGTGGTTTGTTCATCACCGTGTGTACTTTTCCAAGTCCGAAGATTTCATCAGTCTACAGTCTTCCCCCGAATACAACGTACGGTCATTATAGTTGAATGTAGACTGAAAGATACGCTGAATTCAGCTATAATGACCGTACGTTGTATTTGGGGGAAGACTGTAGTCCTCTGTGCAGGGGATCGCGGGGAGTAATTAGTTTTTAGTAGTAAGGGTGAAATGCGTCGCAGACGCGTTGTGTGGTTTGTTTCCGGCTTTTCGGATCGTCTGTGTGCCGGTGGAGATTGCGAACGAACTGCCGTCTTCACCCGAATAGAACGCCCGGTCATTATCGCTGTATTTAGACTGGAAGTTAGCCCAAATATAGCTATAATGACCGGGCGTCTTCTATTTGGGTGAAGACGGTGGTCAGCCGAGCTAAGCCTGGTTCCAAGTCTCGAACGTTGATTACCGCTTAAATGAGCGCCGTGCGGACGGAGATGCGTTCCGTGGGCATGGTTTACTTTGGGTCAATGATGAGTGGGTGGCTAGAAGTTCCATCCCTGCTCAATGCATTGGTATGATTGAGAGTGGATAAGACCCTTTGTGGGCAGACCAGGGCAGTTGTGTAGTCTTACCGTTCTGGCTCGGTATTTTTGTGCGACGTATCGGGATATTGTCCGAATCCTGGAGGCTGTATTCTCACCGTTCCGGAAATAAAGGTATGACGAAAGGACAAACAAAAAGAATGGAAGGGTGCAGCTATTGTAAATGACGAGGATGCTCGCTTTAGTCTCTTTCGTTTCCTCATTCCTCCTCTCTTTCTTTTTCCTTCAGTATCCCAAGTGTGTATGTATCGAAGTGTTTGTGCGACAATGTATACAATGCATGCGTCGGAAGGAGATGCACAGGGAGGAAAGGGAAGATGAAGCCGAAAGAAATATGCGGGTCAGGTCGTGTCCAATGGAGAAACACGTGGATATGTCTTACGGTTAGTACGTCACCACTCACATGCATAGGTCCATGCAGCAGTTGTTTTGCATGGGATTGCAGGCTACTGATTTGTACATACGGTAGGCGAGCACGGCCTAGTTCTCCCCCGCCTGAGTGCACAACGACGTAGTCATGGACTCGATACCGACGCCCATGATATACCCCAACGTGGCCACTGACGCTGTAAAGGCATTTTTTTGCTGCCGTCACTTGTTGCCGCCGCCGCCGCCATCACGAAGTTGTTTCTATGTCATCGTCGCTGCCGCACGGGAGCTCTTGTCAGCGACGCGCAGCCGCCCCCGCAATCGAGTAGTGCTTAGCTTTTTCCGATTGCTGTCTTTCCGGCGGCATTTTGTCCCTTGCACAGCTTATGTCGTGCCCGCCGCCGCGCACTGTCTTCTGAGGCTAACGACGTCAGCCGCCCTTCGCAGCGCCTCCGGCCGTCGCGCGCACCCTTTCGTCTTCAGCCGGCGCGAGCCGGCCATTCACCACCTCCCCTGCCGTCGTCATCTCGCACGCTCTCTGTGCGAGCTGGCCATTCACAGCCTCCCCTGCCGTTGTCACCTCGCCCGCCCGCTCTCGGCGCGAGCTGGCCATTCTCCGCATGCCCTGCCGTCGTCGTCTCGCCCACTCTCGGCGCGAGCTGGCCATTCACCGCCTCCGCTGCCGTCGTCAGCTCGCCCGCTCTCGTCTATGTCCATATTCTTTCCGTTGCGTTATACCGTACCGCTTCTCTCCTTTGTCGCACAAGGGGGATTTGTGTGGCTTTGTTCCTGGTCATTGGAGTAGCGGAGGGGAAAAGACTTCCGGGGAGTGAAGGCGTAGAGAAGTCGGATAGTTTGGTGATTACGATTCGCGTGTCAAGAGACTGTTGCATTGTCTGTGCCGTTGGAATACCAGCGCGATATTGAGCTTGGGGGGCTCGGTTCTCGTGGCGGCTGATTAGTCCTTTCAGTGAGTAGTGGAGAATGTAGAGTAATTGATAAATTACTTAGAAAAAATAGAGTATTATAAATAAAGCAATACATCTTTATATTTATGTAGTAGGTATGTACTTATTCTGATATTAAATTCTTGCCGGCGTGATTAATGGCTATGAGTCGCGTAGGTTTACCAGTTTGGTGCATGGCTTTTGCCCACGAGCAGCCACATTTAGTGCAAAACAGCTGTCCTGCGTTGTTTTTATTACGACGCTCATGTGGATTTCCCTTCTTAGACGCAATGATTGATCCTCCACTAACGTTCTCCCCCGAACGCAACGCAACCCTCATTATGTCTGCACCGGACCGGAAAGATAGCTTGTATACGTCGACTACGAGGGTGCGTTGTATATGGATGAGGGACGACGGTACGGGGACGCCTTGCCTGGTGCTATTCGTCCGTGGATTTGGTTCTTACGATTCGCGTGATCTTTCCCTGTGAACCTGTCCACCGTTGTTGATGTCAACCGTCAATGGTCGCGAATGTAGCTGTCATCGACAAAGCGACGGCGAGAAGTGCATTGCGAATAGAGGTAAGCTACCTTCTTCCTCCGAATACAACGTACGGTCATTATAGTTGTATTTGGGTATGCTACCTTCTTCCTCGGAATACAATCGTGATCGGGCGTTCCATTCCGGTGAAGACGTTAGTGGATCAATCGCCATCCTGAAACCCAAAGTGGAATAGAACACTGAATTGGCTATCTTGCTGATAAAGGTGTGCGTGCCCCGTCCTGTACAGTAAATGTTGATTTTCTGTGATGATTACGATTGATATAAAGACGTGAGAGGTCAGTCCCTTCCCCGTGAGAAAATAAAAAGTGCAAGCTGGTTTTTGTTCATATGCGGAGAAGTCCATATGTTGTAATAATAATAATAATGATATTAATATTAATAATAATAATAATTCATGAGTTGATGTGAAATGCTTCCCTGCTGTCTGCTTTCTTGTGTTGATTGTGCAGTTCTCGAGGTCGGCGATGGCGTCTTCGAGGTGCTTTCGACTTCCGGAGATACGCATCTGGGCGGAGATGACTTCGACAAGGTAGGCTGGAGGCTTGAGCAAAAGGAGATTCTTACGATGAGGAGTGAGTGCTACGATCAACTAGACTGGAAATGAAATCTGTCGAGTGGTACTTGGTGATGTGTGCGAAAAGCGAAATGAGGGAGATTGATTTGTGTTTTCATTTCGCGGGGGCGGGGGGTGGGAGGGGGTGATGTTGGGGGGAGTAGGAGATGAGGAAGTAGACGGCAGAGACGTTAAATCGTCCAGCGGTCCTTCGGGACAAATTACATTTAGAGCGATGGAGAAAATAATGAGCGTTCCTTTTGCGCAAGGACGGTACACACAAATCGAGAAATAATCTTCTTTCGGCAAGCCAAAATACATGAAAAGTACTTCGGGACATGAAATTGGAACGATACAAAGAAGGGTAATTAAGCGAAATGGCCCCTGCGCAAGGATGACACGCATAAATCGAGGAATGGTTCGAATGAAAAAAAGAAAAAATGAAAAAGGGAGTACATAAAAGAATCGCAGCGAAAGTATATCAGAAAATCGCCCAGGGACGGACTCCCTCAACCGAAGCTTTCAGTAGCGGAAACTTGTAATCCAGCTGTCTGCTTGGGAGATGTGTCAACACAAGGGAGACAGATTCAGAACCTCGCTCCATGTATAACATCTCAAGCGTACCTGGATCAGGTGATGGTTGATATGCACTCGAAATCTTGGTTCAGTAGTAGTGTAGCTTCATCGCAGCGCAGAATGATGTGTAGTGATTAATGACTAAGGAGCATTGTGAGATGCGCAATAAAAATGTTGATTTAGGTTTTACAGGGGTTATACAGGGGTTATGGGTTATACAGGGGTTGCGAAGCCTCTCATTATTCGGGGTAGGGTCTGGGGTTGGAGTGGCCCTATGAGATATTTGAGCAGAGACGGTCAGCACGAAACCCGCACCACCTCGGAGGCCGCCGATTTTTCTTTTCAACGGCGGCCCAAGCCGTGCGGCCGCTCCGAGTTTTGCTTGTGGTGACAAAAAGTTTCTGCCAGGCTGGGGCCGTGTACTTGTGGTTTAACGAGGATGCTCGTCCTACACTATCAGTGTAATCCTGGTAGCAGTTCAATCGTCGTACTGGTGTAGTCCTGAACAATCGTGCACTGCGAGTAGCGATTTTGAGAAGTATCATTTAAACCCTGGTACCCGTTTTGATCCCGAAAACGATCGGAGGGATGCTGAAAAGAGGAGTCGTTAAATTAAGTTACATTACTATGGCCCTGAAGAACACGTCGTTTGTGATCTTCTCAATAGAAGAAGAAATGGAAGGCATTGAGTGGTTGCACTTTTTTTTTTTTTTTTTTGGTGTCGCACTCTGGAGGTCTTGGATTGAGTGGTTGCACTGCTTAAGCAGTCGTTAAATTTATTTTTAGTAAACATTACCTTGAGTGCGAAGAGCACGTGAGCACGTTTGTGATCGTAAAACCACCACTCAAACCGAAGCTGAAGTTGTCGAACCAAAATCTGCATCTTCCCGTACCTGCAGTCTGCAGTGTACTTCGTTGCTCTCTTTGAGGGAGATACCGGCGTCAGCCTACCTCGAAACTGAGGTGCTGTACTCTGTCATTTGCTGGCATAAAAAAGAGAAGGCAAAACACAAGAAAAAATATGAACTCAAACGAGATCGTTGATGTCTTGGAAGGCCCTTGCTGAGGGCATACTCACACTAGTGCTTTCCAGAATGTGTCTGACTACTATTACGGCCAAATCCTTTTTTTTTTTTTGGGTTCTTACTCGCATTAGTGCTTTCCAGAATGTGTCTGACTACTAGTACGGCCAATCCTTTTTTTGTTTAGTACGGCCAATCCTTTTTTTGTTTTTTGGTTCTTCTTCTTAGTGCCCTGCCAGGGAGGCAGGGCGTTTTCCACGTGCGTGGAAATGCCCTCTTTGTGGGCATACTCACACTGGTTCCTTCCTGAATGTATCTGACGGCTATTACAGCCAAATCTCTCTTGTTTTTTTCCTTCTTTTGTTTCTCTTCGAATGCCACGTTCTCTGGAAGGCCCTGGCTTAGGGAATATCCACACAAGGACTTTTAGTATGTATCTGACCCCTATTGCATCCAAATCCTTTTTCTTTTTTCTCTTGTTTAGTTTCTGTTCCTGTCAACAAGGCAGGGTGTCTTCGGATATTCTGCTGTAAATTGTGTAACCCAGCCCAGTTTCTCTCCTTTTTTTTGTTTTTCCAATTCAGTGTTTGGGCCCACCTGCCTTTTCCCTCAGAACCTAAGCCTTGCCCGATCACTGTAGATTTCGCTCCGGGACTCGGTCCGAGAAAAATCTATACAGTGACAGGGCACTTGAAGTGGTGGTTTAATAGAAGTCGAAATGGAAGGGATCGAGTGGTTTCACTGTATAAGATAAAGCGGCCTCTTATACGGTATCGAAAGGCGAAACTTTCAAGGCTACTTTTGAAGCAAGAAGCAAATCTGTTGTTTTGGAATTACAACTCGTGAGTTCTCAAGAGGCTTTGTTGTCAGAGTTCTTGAAACAACATGAATTATGTAGTATTATTTTGGGTTCTTGTACGCAAATGATTGGAGAATCATGTAGTGATGACATGATTACATGCTGCGCACCAAATTACAAACAAATCGTGCAAGCAGTCTTATGTCAGCAAATGGAACAAAAGTTCAAAACACTGTTGACTTTTCAAGTCAATTCTCCCATTCATTTACAGGCCTTGCTAAAGGCTTGTTTTCATGAAACTACGTTCAGTCAATCTACGCAGAGTGAATCGGTCCCTTAGGAACCCCCCCCGAAAGGCGGCGTTGATGGGTACTAGAAAGTGATGAAATTTGAATTAAGCTAGCGCTAGTGAACAAAACAAAATTGGATGATTGGACAGGGCCTCAACTTCTGGGAAAGAACTTGTAGATTTAATTGTAGATTGAACCGTACCCCAAACCGACACAAGTGAACAAGTAGAGTATACTAAGGCGCTTGAGATCACCATGTTGAAGGAACTCGGCAAAATGACTCCGTAACTTCGGGAGAAGGTTTAATAGAAGTAGAAATGGAAGGGATCGAAATGGAAGGGATCAAGCGGTTTCATTAAGGCGCACGACGCTTGGGATCTTGCAAATTTGGATGCGTGTGGCTGCCGTATTTACAATGTAGGTGCGTTATCATGTTTTTTTGAAGGGATTGATGTGAATGGAACGTTATCATCTAAGACTGAGTGTAATTACGTTCTGTATTCTGTGCAGCGAATTGTGGACTGGCTGGCGGACGATTTCAAGAGGCAGGAGGGCATTGACTTGCTGAAGGATAAACAGGCACTGCAGCGATTGACGGAGACAGCCGAGAAAGCGAAGATGGAGCTATCTACCATCACCCAGACGAGCATCAGGTATGTGACTGAGATTGGCATGTGGCTGTAGAGCTTCAACTCTGTTGTTTACGTGCCATTGTGCCTCCGACTTGCGAAATAAGTCTATGCATAGAATGTGTGTCGTGGTGATCTAACATATATTCCGCATTTGACACGATTCGCTCTACGCTACATGTTCTGTTCCCAGTGTGAATTCCTGCAAACATTTTTTTTTTTTGTTCTTTTTTCTGGTGAGACATTTCTGACTTGTGTTCTTCTTCGTGTGTCTGCAGCCTGCCTTTCATTACCGCAACAGCAGAAGGACCTAAACACATCGACACGACACTCACGAGAGCTAAGTTCGAGGAGCTCTGTTCAGACTTGCTGAGCAGGTGTGTGTCCACTGTGACCTGTTGGTGTGCATGAGATATCTTTCCTGATCCTGATGAGAATAATAGTCCTTCGTGATGATAATTATCACTATATTTCTTTCCTAAGTCCTTGATGTTCCTGTTGTTGAAGGGTGACCCGGCTTATTGAGATGGGTTGTGGTTCAGAATGGCAAAGCTGTGTCGGCAACTGTGAAAGCCCTAATTTGTTATCTGAGTGGCATAGCTGTGGGAGTCTGTATGGCTGACAGTTCGCTGGGTGTTCGATCCATCTACTTTCCTCCGCCGCCGAATAGAATGTAAGCGCCGTAAGGTCGTTACAGCTGTATTAAGACTGAAGGACACCCCAAAAATACAGAGACTGTACGATGTATTCGGGGAAAGAAGGTAGTGCTCTGTTGCTCGTTTGCTGTTGATTATGGAGAATCCAAACTGAGCACATTTATCGTCCATCTGGGATGGCATAGATATGGCAATATCTGCCTTCGATTAAGTTTGATAGTTTGCTGGGTGTGTGGGAGAGTTTTCTCTTTTCTGGTCTTGTAGATAGAGTTTGTGTTCGTTATGCCCGATCTGGAGTACGGCATGGGTCGTGCAGGATTGCAGATGGGTATCTGTTTGTTCGTGTGAGATTGCATATAATTAACTGCATGCGGGGATAGAGTTAACAAATGTGCTTGCACATGACAGCTTTCCTCGCTCTCTGCAAGCTGTATCTTGCATGGCTGCTAACTGTGTGTTGCATTTGGACGTAGTTTACATTGTGTGTATTTCGTCTTCAGGGTGGAAATCCCCTTCGGTATATTGGATGTGTCCGTCCTCGTTCTTTGCTGCATTGATGTGGCTGGTGGTATGTGGTGGTACCTCTGTGGGAGAGTGTTTTGATTGGTTTGGAAATTTGAGGGCTGGGTGGATGATTTGTGAGTAAGGCCTCACTGACGTTCTGGGTGGCCTGGGGTGTGCGATAATATGGAAATGTTTTGTGATGTGTACAGTTTAATGTGATGCTTACTCTGTCCAGGACTGAGTGGAGTTGCTGTCGTAATTGGTTGCTTGATTATTGTGTGCAGGTGCCGAGTTCCCGTTGAGAATGCTTTGAAGGATGCCAAGCTCACACTCGGCGACATCAATGAGGTTATTCTTGTTGGTGGCTCAACCAGAATTCCCGCAGTCGTCAATCTTGTCAAGCAGATGACCGGCAAGGAACCAAATATGTCTGTCAATCCGGATGAAGTCGTCGCTCTTGGTGCAGCTGTGCAGGTAATGATAAGAGTTCTGACAGATCTTGGGAACATCGGCTTCTTTGGGAAGGAACAACGGCGTTTGTTTTGGGTCTTTTCATATGATGTGATGTGGATCCCGGTCTGAATACGTTTGGTCTTTAATGTCACGGTCAAACTTTTTGAATGTGTTTTGGGGCGTTTGACTGTGGAGTGAGTTCAGATCAGCACCTGCCTGGCGGTCATGCAGTGTTTGTGGCGGCTGTAGATGCGTTGTATCTGGCCTCTAGTGACATGGTTCAGGGGAAAGCCTCAGACAGTGGTGGTTTGGTCTTGTGTTCCGTAGCAGCTGGGAAGTTATTATGAATTTCTATGAATGCACACGGCATGGAGGCTTTTGAGGTGATTGCGAAATGTTCGAGGCTGTTTTTGTTAATGCCAATAAAATCCACCTGCTTGCAGTGTTGATTCTTATTTTGATTTCATTTTCACTGTTTGATTGTTGGTATTTATGTCTTCTTCGGTGTTTCATTGCTCTGAGGCATGCATGGTGATTGTTTATTGACGTTGGTGTTCCGTTGCGTTTGGGAATTGATTGCAGGCTGGAGTGCTTGCAGGTGATGCCAATATAATCCACCTGTTTGCAGTGTTGATTTTTATTTTGATTTCTTTTTCACTGTTTGATTGTTGGTATTTATAGCTTCTTCAGTGTTCCGTTGCTCTGAGGCGTGCATGGTGATTGTTTATTGACGTTGGCGTTCTGATGTGTCTGGCACTCGATTGCAGGCTGGAGTGCTTGCAGGTGAAGTCAGTGACATTGTGCTCCTTGATGTCACTCCTTTGTCTCTGGGATTGGAGACGCTTGGTGGAGTGATGACGAAGATTATCCCAAGGAATACCACTCTTCCTACGTCCAAGTCGGAGGTCTTCTCAACTGCCGCCGATGGACAAACGAGTGTGGAGATCAATGTGTTCCAGGGTGAGCGCGAGTTCGTCCGGGACAACAAGCAGATTGGCAACTTCAGACTCGATGGAATTCCCCCTGCACCACGCGGTGTCCCACAGATTGAGGTCAAGTTCGACATCGATGCTAATGGTATCTTGTCGGTTACTGCGATTGACAAGGGCACAGGCAAGAAGCAGGATATCAAGATCACTGGTGCTAGCACGCTTCCCTCAGATGAGGTTTGTATTTCGCGACCTTGGTGATTGATGGATCATTCATGCATGCAGCGTTTTATGTTTTTGTCACGTATGTATGGTGTGCCGATTTGCTTTTATGTTTGCAGTAATGTCTTGGATCTTGTCTTGTAACTTGCTGATCTTAAACCACCAGTACACGGCCCCAGCCGTGCAGTCCGAAACTTGTTGCTACAAGAAAACGAGTCCGAAACGTTAAACGCTGCGCCCGCCGTTGATAAATTAGATCGGGAGTCCGAAACGTTAAACGCTGCGCCCGCCGTTGATAAATTAGATTGGTGGTGGCCGTTTTGTTTCACGCCTCCAGAATTTGAGGTGTCAGGACGCCTCCAGAATTTGAGGTCTCAGGCCCGCAGCCCAGCTGCCTATGTACTGGTGCTTCAACCCTTTTTTAATGTTACACGGGCTTCTGATTGTTATCGGCATGTTTTTGGTCATACTTCTTTGTCATAATTTTGTCTCTCGCTTTTCTTGTCCTGCGTTTGTGTGAGTTTTATCATCTGCAACGGTGTACTGGGCAGTGCTGCGAGTGCCGTACTCATAGCTATGAGTGGATGTTTTGCCACATGCGGTGTATGTCTGTTGACTGATGTCTGTTCAGGTGGAGAGAATGGTCAAGGAGGCAGAAAAATTCTCGAAGGAAGATCAGGAGAGGAGAGAAGCAGTGGATACAAAGAACCAGGCGGAGTCGATGATCTATCAGACAGAGAAGCAGTTGAAGGAGCTGGGTGACAAGATCCCTGCAGATGTTAAGACGAAGGTCGAGGACAAGTTGAAGGCTTTGCAGGATGCTGTTGCGGGTGGGTCGACACAAGCAATCAAGGACGCGCAGAGCGCTCTGCAAACAGAGGTCATGGCGATGGGGCAATCGGTCTACAGCCAAGCAGGTGCGGCAGGTGCTGGACCCACACCGGGTGCAGACAGCAGCTCAACAGGATCAGGGCCGTCTGGTGGACCCAGTGCAGGTGGTGCAGGAGGTGAAGATGTTATTGATGCGGACTTCACGGACAGCACCTAGGTGTAGTAGCACCATATACTGTAGGACCTTGTAGGGAAAGTGAGAGGAGAGTCTTTGTTCTGTTTTTCTTTTGTCCTTTTTTTTTTTTTCCCCTTTCCCGGATCGCTTTTCCACCTTGTATGTTGGTAGGCAATGTGGAGCCATGTGTGAGAGTGCGCTGAGGGTTTGTGCGCTGAGACTTCCCCTTTGTGGGGGAAAGGTATGCCCCATTTGCATTGCGGGGTCGACTTCTGCTCCGATGTTCCTTGACTTGGGGTCGCAGTTTCCTTCTTTTTGAAATTCCTTGTGTACCGATTTCTCCCGTTTTCTGTGACCATATGGTCTGTTAGTTACAATTTGCTTCACAATCGCATGTTGTAATATCAAAATCTATGGAGCTCTTTTGTAAAATACACAAGTTGGTGTGTATTGTGTCTCTGTCCTCTCATGTATTGTTTGCTTGCTGAGTCGTGGCTCTTGGTTCCTCGATGAAAGGGCTTCACAATTATGTGCCTTACCACACTACTTGCAAAATGCACAAAAGCATCAACATATGGCATGCATCTTCTAGCGGGAGAGGCATTCTCATTTTGCACATTGTAAGTGGTGGACTGAGGCCTTATGAAATATATTTGGAATGGATGCTTCATTGACGGCGTTTGACACGAGTCAAACAGGTGCAGATCGGAATCTCGATGTTTCATTTGCCATCACGTGGAGCAGATTGAATGTGGATGTGGCATGAGGGGTGCAGTATTCAGACTACCGTCTTCCCCCGAACATAACGCACCCTGAACAGCAAGGTATACGAGGGATGTTTCCGGCCAGATAAAGTCAGAATGAGGGTGCGTTGTGTTCGGGGGAAGACGGTAGAACTTTTTAGATCTGTTGAATGTAACGACTGCCTAAAAATACACCCAGAGTAGTCGCAGCTGGAGCTGTGTTTATTCTTGAGAGAGCCTCTACGTGCCTTGTGAACCAGGGTGGTATATGGTGGTGGAGACTGCTGCGCTGAAGCATAGCTGAACCCTTCTGCATCAAGTAGAAGGTGCCGGATGCCCTGATACTGTTTTTTCTATTCGGGACGGATTTGAGATGTGGTAGATTATGTCACTTGCGATGTTGTTTGTGGTTGTGGGTAAGGACAGTTGGTGGACGTATTGGGAAAGCGCGACGATCCGAAACTTGCGTTCTGCTGTGCTCCTGTCAGTTAGTAGGAGAGGTACATGGGGCGAGGGCGAGGGAGAGCAAGGAATGTAGGGGGAGTGGAAAATGAAGAAAACGAGTATTTTAGAGAACTCTGGAGCGAGGCTTTGCTTGCTTGCTTGCTGCTCTGTGATGATGGCGGCTTCATGCATGATGAATGTGAGCACACGGAGGCAGCCACTGCCAGCCAGAATCTTTTTTTTTATTATTTTTTTTAAATAGACGTGGACCATTTTTTGGTTGTAGGTATCCTTGCTCAGGGGCGTGAGTCTTCTCTGTATTGTTCCAATTTTAACGAATGTCCCGAAAGACGACTTTCAGCCAGAATCTATTGTTATGAACTTGGTTGTCTGACGATTTTCACCGCCACTCACACACAGACAATCTCATACCCGCCCATACATGCATAAGACGATGGGGAGAGGAGAGTCCAAACTGCACGCAGATCAAAGTAAGCAGCGAAACACAACCATGGGCAGATGGGGGGAGAAGCATAGTATTTCTCACTCTCTGACAATACTCCCAACAACCAATCACAAGAAGACACCTGCGAGGATAACAATTAGGATTTACACTGATGATGAGCCAACTCAAACCAGTTATCGTTTCAGAGTTCATTTCAGTATCTCGCCACCCTCAGAACTCCACACTCCACTCTCTACCCTACACCCAGTTAGTAGCGCAACACTGAGAAGGCCTCACAGAGGCCTGCGCCAGCCGCCCAGATGAAGAACAGGTCCGGGGATGAAGTCTTCAGTGCCGATGAACAACGCTAACGAGGAAACATGCAGCTATGGCTGCTGCACCACTGACACGGCGCGAGGAAACAGGCAGCTATGGCTGCCGCACCACTGACACAGCCCTAATATCTCCAGATGCGAGATGGGCGACAGTGGTCCATCCCCATAAGTACCCAGTGAAGAGCCTCGGTCTAGCCCAGGCAGACGCAGATACCCCCAGGGGTAGATGTGCTGTGGATGCCCAAGTTATGGCAACCTGCAGAAGTCTGGCTATGGCTGCTGTCCACGGCGAGGGTCTCAGGATGCTGCCTGTAGACAATCACCACCACCAACTTGCTTGGCTTGCAACGCTGCCGCCTCAAAATGAAAAGCCAAAAGTCCCTAAACTACAGGCTCGGTCCTATTAATAGACTATCCTACTCTAGACCTAGACCTGCTGGACCGGTACCGCATCACTTTGACCTGCCCGGCTTGGCCTGGGCCCTACCAGGCTATACGGTGTCTAGACCGTCTCTACAGCCCAAGGCCCAGATGGGCCTGCTGTCCTAGTGATAGCCCTTGTTAAGGCCTGTAACGGCCAAGGGTAACTCGGGCCTGCAATTTTCGTGTAAATTGCAGATATGTCCCTCACGAATTTCCCTCAGGACTGGACCGGTGGTTAGTCCCTGACACAAACAAAATTACGAATCTGACCCTAAGACACGACTATACAACCTCGCCGTCAGATCTCGGCAGCAGAAAGCAGAAAGTCGTTGCACTATTCCACAGGAATGTCTTTATTTCTGACGAGAATTCATTGATGCTTTTACTATCCATCCTCGACTGCTCCTAAAAGCTTTGCTCCACTATCCACCAAATGTGGAAAATGAGAATGAGTCTTGCCCTAGAACCCGGACAAATACACCGTCATATTTTGTCTTTTGTGCATGTGGATAGTAGTGGAGTGAGGCCCTAAGCCTACACAGGGTTCCCCTGCAAGCATTGCTACCTCTCGGTATCAAGGGATGCATGTGCCATAGGTGTGCCACGTGCCCTAATCGCCGGTGATCAATGAGTACCCTGTGATTAAGGCAGGTTAATGCGTCGACCAAGCATTTTCCCATAAGCTGCTCCTCCCGTGTACAAATCTCGCCCTAATTCCAATTCCATTTCATGAATGTTTATCCTTTCTGGTATTTCTACCTGGCGTCCGGCCTGCAATAGTCGTGTGATCAAAGTACACTCTAACTCAACGCAGTCTTAATACAGGTCGTCAGATAGGCAAGTAGCTAAGGCAATTTAGTAATCTGTACTTTCTTATTTTCTGTACTTAGAGGTACTCTGAGGTGTGGTCAGCAGCTGTCTACCATTACAACTATATGTCTGAGGAAACAAACAGCCAACATTGTTCAGGGACGCTGGACTCGCTTTCCAGCAGGTGTTGCTTCCCACCAATAGATGGAGTGAAATAGCATAACTGATGCCTTCATACATAGATAGACCTCAGAGAGCCTTTCCCGAACCGTATGTGCAAGTTTCCTCGAGCCTGCCCGGGACTGCTAGAGGTGTCTACTCTTACTAGCACCCTCAAAAAAAAAAAAAAAACTAATGCTATCACTGTTGTGCGGAATGCGAGTTCCCTGGCTTTGGAACTGGGATACCGCACAACATTTGAAAACACAGGACAATAGATGGCTGCTCAATTAAGTCTGGTGGTTAAAGAATTCACTCCTCCCATGCATATTAAGGGTATTCACATTCAAGCAATGTATGGGTAAGAGTTTATATATAACAATTCGTTTGCCGGTTGGTTCCAGTGTAAATCTTGGTGCATGCTTGCTAAGCTAATAAGATTTATGCGAACTGATTGATATGTACAAGTTATAGGCTGGGGGTTAGGTTGTAGAAGTCTTCAGTTGTGCGGTTGGTGTTTCTCATGGCTGGATGCATATTCTGTAGCCCCTCCTCATGAAGCGATAACAATGATGTCGAGATTGTTCCTGGACGATGATCCCACATGGGTTCTGTTATTGTGGGTTACTAGTTGAAGTTGCAGCCTTCCTAGATGCATGAAGGGAAGGAGTCGACGTACTAAGGTGTACCAAGAAAATGCATGAAGGGAAGGAGTGGACGTATTAGGGTGTACCAAGAAGGGTGATGGGAAGCATAAAAGGTTTCTGGGTTGTTATTTGGTTCTGTGCGAGACTGTCAGTGACGCCGTTGTTTGTTCATGCGCAAGAACAAGCGGTGGTACGCAGCAGTACTCGTACGTGCTTTCACTACACTCGTAGGTAATGTGATTATGAAGGAAACAGAGGTCACACAATACTATCCATTAGGAATGCAACATGTGGATGCACTTGCAGGAGCATGTGTCCAGGTGTTGCTGCCGAGTACTGCTGCATCTTGCTTTCCTGTGTATGCTTGCTTGTGTAGAGGGATGCTTCGTTGCATGGAGTGGTGGTGGTAAAGATTCGAGTGCCTCAGGCCTTCCATCCCATAGGAAAATAGTAGAGAAGATAGGCATTGTACTGACTAAACCTACATAATATTTAACAAGTCGGGTTATACCAGAGCATACTTATATGCAATTGTTTGTATGCATGGACTTGATTAGTGAGAGTGGAGTGCAAGACCTGATGTGGGATTCTCTTCCCTGTAAACCTCTCATCTGTCCATAAACACAAGCAATGAAACGGTTATCATGTTGAAGGGTAATAATACGGGTACCGACAATTGATTCAAAATTCAATCAGCAAAAGAATGGTCATTACCAATGGCAGCTGTGCCGCGCTACTGTAGTGAAGGTTGTGATTTTGGAGGAGGAAATATTTCCATGCTCGCAAAGTGTTGTTATGCTGTGAGTTGTTCGGTGCCGCTGGGGCAACCAAACAAGCATGTGGGAAGAAATATGCATCCAGTTGACTTCTGGGCGTTTCGTCATGGCGAGAGTGGACGACTGCGATGGTACAGTAGATGCAAGAGTATTCGCGACAGGAATGGACCTGTATGTGTGATGTTCATGCATCGAAAGGATGAGGGTGAAGATTCAGAGGGCGAGGGGGGGCCATCCCAAAATCCTCTGTGAAATTGCGAATGTCTATAAGCTTTACATCTATCCAGCGGTCGGATGTCGTGTCCATTACCTTTTTCAGAGAAGGGTAGTATGGTGGATCCATGTCCCAGCAGGGGACTCTCCCTACCAATAGATGGAGCGGATGCTAACAGGGCTACTTGTGGGGGTGGCTCCCCCTCCCAAGCAGTCTATCTCCGTTTTCCAATGAGTGGTTTGCATCAGTTTGCGTTTCTTTTTGGAATGCGCTCATGGCGAATGTGAGCGGCTGCGGCAAAAGCGAGCGGCTGCAATACACAATAGATGCAGGAGTACTAGTGACATGAATGACTGTGTGCTAATGTTGATGCAGACAAGTGATGCATGGGAAGATTATGAGGGCAAGGCATCCCAAAATCCTCTGTGAATGTGTGTATAAATGTGTTTAGTAAGTGAGTAGGGGATTGCAACTCCTATATGTATACTTACATCTGGAAGGGGATTGGATGTTGTCTCTATTGTATATGTATACTTACATCCGGGAGGGGATTGGATCTCGTCTCCATCGTGATTCCAAAGATGGGGCAGTAGTGCAAGTAATGGGGGGCAAAATGGAATGTGTCAGGGCTCTCCTCCCGTGTGCGCGGCTACCCATACATGCCAGTGTCTGCTTTTTTTTTTTTTTTTTTTTTTTTGGTAAATTYTTTAAGCCCAACCAATTCAATTACCTGTCCAATCTGGACAGGACGGCCTTTCAGGCCTTTTTCTATTGTCATTATAGTATTACGGGGAACCCTGTAGCAGCCACATCCGTGCTCAAGCCTCCAACGAGGGAACATGCGGGACGCCGGGAGCTGCACCCACCAGCAGGTGCGATACCTGCTACAGCAGGTGGGTGTCCGCATATAAGAGTACAGATCTGATAAAATTTGCAGCAAAATCCTTCCTGGTCGGAGCACGAGCAATGTGTTGTAACTCTGTAACCTAGACCGTTGGGGGCAAAAGACTTGGTAGAGAGATCTGGCCCCGTTCAGCTTCATTGGCCAACGGCAGTCAAAAGTCGAGCGATGCTGGCCGCAGCAAGGTGATGGAACTCTGTAACACACCCAGCTCATGGGGGGTGCGAAGCCTGGTAGAGAGATTCGGTTGTGTTGGCAGCGTTTTTTACCGTGTGTCAATGCAGTGGATTCGCTGGAGTGTCAATTATATCATTAAGTTTTGGGGGCTAAGTAGAGCTCAGTTCTGGTAGGTTGTTAGTCGATCATGAATTTCCTTGAGTATTGTTCTCAGCCGAAGTCAGGTAATGGCCCCAGTATCTCATGTTTGGGCCCGGTTACGAGCACATGGCATCGCATGAATAGATCGGAACATTGCCAAAAAGGGGGCGGGGGGGGGAGGAAAAAGGGAGCAGTGCACTACCCTTGAATTTTTGGGATTCAAAAGCAGAGACCCTTGAATTTTTGGGATTCAAAAGCAGACCCTTGAATTTTTGGGATCCAAAAGCAGACCCTTGAATTTTTGGGATTCAAAAGCAGACCCTTGAATTTTTGGGATTCAAAAGCAGACCCTTGAATTTTTGGGACTCAAAAGCAGCGGAGCAAGACCATTTATTGAACTTGGTTCAGTTCACTTAGGTTGCTGAAGTTAATCAGAGCAAAAGCATATGTCCCACTATGTTTGTCGATTTCAAGCATCCACCCACGCAAAAATGAATGACTCGCGCTTGGGGGACCGCTTCTTTGATGGCTTGCTTTGCACGGCTTGGGCCCCTGTTGTGCATAGGTTTGGCCACTTGGGCCCACTTCTTTGACAGCTTGTGAGTTTAGGCCGGACCCTCTAACGCAATACCCGGAGGCCGTTTTATTGTTCGCCCCCACCCTTCATTGTTTGCCCCCACCCTTCTCCTTCAGCATTCCCAACACCCGCAGCGGCTGTCGCTTGGGGCTGTCAAGCAAGACCCGCGTTTTTGTAATATCAAATTGTATATACACAAGGTGGCGACCCCTGTCCGTGAGAGGCACGGTGAAGGGGCAGTTAAAAGAAAGGGAAAGATGAATGGTTTCAGTGTGCTCCTCGTCTTTGTTTTGTTTTCTCATCTTTACCGTTTGTTTTGCATACTGCGCTCACATATAAATATGAGGTGGTCAAACTCCGACGAAACAGGTTGAAACAGTTTGTCACAACCCCTCGTTTGTTATCCTCTAGAACTGAAAAAAAAGGGAAATTGGAGATAAAAAATCTGATAAAGCCAAATTTGGAGTAGGAAATCTAAAAGTGTTTGGTGAACCAAAAAATGACAGTAATAGTTACTGTCCCCCTTTATTGGGGTTTCCATTTGAGGTTTCCATTTGAAGTTAACTTCACTTTTTTTCACCTGGTTTCTTCGAGGACCTTATAGATCTATTTTCGATAATTCTGGAGTAAATCTAGGTTGTTTCTCCGGGCGACGAGGCACCCAACTTGTGCCCAGATACACGCCCAGGCGGCGGGCCAGGCACGACTCCCCGGCAGGGTTCCGGGCAGCCCCAGCGCAAAAAAAAAAAAAAGAAAAAAAAGAAAGACGAAAAGCAAGAAATTCCAGAAAAAATTGTGTTCTGTAGAATTGCAATACAAACATTTGCTGAGGGTCAGATCAGAATTCCTCAAAAAAAAAAAAAAAAAAAAAAAAAAAAAAAAATCAGCACCAAATGACCCCCCTTAACACCCTTGTAGCCCCTTTAAAAATAAATTATACCCCCTTTCCCCCCCCTTGACAGCCAACTCTCAAAAAGTTAAACGAGCCTGGATTTGGGGTCTTCTAAGAAAGCGCAGAAAGACTTTTTTTTTTTTTTTTTTTTTTTGGACGCTTGGATACCCCAGGTGTCAGAGCCCCCCGGGCGTCAGGCCCGGATGCCTGGCCATGCAGGCCGGGCCGGGCATGGCATAAAAACTTCCTAGGAGTAAAGTGAAGAAAAAACAAGATAGATTTTGTTTTGGTAAATTGGTAGGCTAATGCAACAAAAATGCTGAGAATGTTTTTTTGGTAGGCTAATGCATCAAAAATTCTATGAATGAAAAACATACCACGTTCATCAAGGCAGCTTTAAAAAAAAAAACCTTTTTTGGTTAGTTGTGGCAGATTGTTTACTTTTAGGCTGGATTGGATGTCAACCTTACAGTCTGTCGCTTTTAACCACTCGGCCACCTACGGGATTTGAACCTGTGACCTTCAAATTTATTATGGAGGCTATATGGTTGGACGTACGTAACGAGCTTCTGTTCAAATCGGAGTAGCACATCAATTCTCACCTTATTGATCGAATTCTCTCTGAGATCCGCCTCACAATTCGGACAAATTGGCAGACGAATTGGCGGACCAAGAACTTTATATGGTTTAACATAACAAAACCTGGGTGAAAGATGATGGCTTTGCCTCACTATCGCCAGAAGGTAATTTAAAATTGGCTTGTGGCTAATTCAATCAACTAGTTTGTTGGGATAATTTAGGTTTGAGGGTTCAGCCTCCTGATGAGTCGGTGCAACTCCGACCAAGCAATCTTTCATCATCAGCTTTTATTTTTTTCCGTTGTCGGTGTTTCTTGGGACTCTTTTTTTTTTTCTGGTTTGTCTGATTGGTGTGCTTGAGTGTTGTCTACCGTCCCACCTCCCTCAAGTCTCCAGCCTTTGTCTTCTGTTGTTGCCTGTCTTCCCTCCCTCCTCCCCCATGCCCTCCAGCCTAAGTCCTTGTGTCTTACCGCGTTTTGCCAGTGTCATAAGTCCAAGTCAGTTTCCATGTGGTGGGGAGATATGTGAGAATCATCTTCAAGTGAGTGTGCACGGTTGTTTCCTGGGGGGTGGTCGTTCAAAGTAATACTTGTACTGAAGGGCAGCGTTTGCGCTTATATACACACACACCGTGTCACACACACACACATACAATCAGTTTTTGGTATGTTTGTTTTTCCGCCTCCCCCCTAACTTTTAAAAGTATTTTTGTATGCCCAACTGAGCACCTTTAAGTAGTGCCAAACAGTCCGTCATTCCTCATCTACGGCACTCTTAGGGGGGGCGCTCGGTTCTGGATGTCTGTGTTGCCTGTGGGTGATGACGGATGCTCGTCGGAGTGTCTCCCTGGCTCAGTGGGTGGTGGGAACCAACACTCTGCGCGGTTCACCCATGATGTGAGTAAGTGATGTGCTTCTTTGCTCTGTGTTGGACGCGTGGACTGCCTCGTCTACACTCCACCACTGCCTTGCTGCCCGTTCTGCTTGCTTCACAGGTCGTTCTTTGCAAGCTGCTGTCTTCGCTGTGTGGTGTAGCCGGGTTGCGGTGTTGCCTTGCGCTTCGCTGCCTTGCCGTCCTTCTGCTGGTCGTGCCTTCCGTGTTCTTTGCTTGCGCGCCATGTAGTTCAGTTGCCGTGTTGGTGTTGCCTTGTGCTTGACCGCATGGTTGCCCTGCTGCTTGTCCGCTTGCTCTGTCGTCCCTTGCAGTGTGGTTGTCTTGGTCGTCTTGCCTTGTGCTTCACTGCGTGCTTGCCGTGCTGCAAGTCCTGCGGGCTGTGGCGTTCCTTGCAGTCGTTTTTGGCGTAGTGTATCCGTGTTGCCTCTACTGCGTTGCCTGGTGCTCCGGAGGGTTGTTGCCCGCTGCTATGTTCTGCTTGGGGACATTTGCCTTCAACAAGGTTCAAAGGGCTCATGACCCAAACCATCAATACGGGCATTACGCAGATTGTGGAGGGTTCAGCCTCCTGATGAGTCAGTGCAACTCAGAAGAAACAATCTTACATCATCAGCTTTTATGTTTTTCAGTGTTTCGGTTTTTTGGAGACTTGTATTTTTCCCTGGTTTGCCTGCTTGGTGTGCTTGCATGACGTGTGTCCTCCGGCCTCCCCCCTGCCGTCCAGCCTTCATCCTTCCCTGTCCTGTGGGCTTATGTACTGTCCTATATTTTCCTCGTACTTTTTGTTCACGCTGCATGACAACCGCTCCATTGCACGGCTAGGACCCACTCACAAGCGCTTTGGCTGAGCCGCATACCACGTTCCATTGTCGACAGACTTCACCAACCCTGCCAGGATTCCGTAGTGTGACAGCCATTATGCTGGAGATCAGCCAGCGCCGAGTAAAGCGACCTGGCATGCGTATGAGCACACACCCGAAACACACACACATACACACACACACACACACACACACACACACACACACACACACATGGCAGACGGGTGTGTGGGCACTTGGTGCTTAACCACACAAATGTGGCCAACCATGCATCTTCTATTATGTTGCCTATCTACACCTCCTTGTTTTATAAAAAGGTTTATGGATGATTTGTGGATGGAATTAGGAGAGAGTTTGGGGTTCTTTGACACACACACACACACACACACACACGCACACACACACACACACACACACACACACACACACACATTCCCCTGCCCAAAACACACACACACACCCTTAGGCACATCTCGGCCCTTCGCATGGCCAGGTGGTCCCATGTGGGCAGGGTGGTATTATGCTGTCCGGGTGTCATGGGTAGATAGGTACCATCTGGACTGGGTGGTGCCATGTACCATGCAGACTTGATTGTCCCAACACACAGTCGACCACCAAACCAAAACAGAAAGACCCACATGCACATCTGATTCCACTGCCCATCCAGACGGTGGGCGCTTGAACACCCTTCCATTCCTTTTTGGGAGACATTGTTTCAAAATTACAAGCTGTGCACTAACAGCTCGGTTGGTATGCTCATCCGCAGGGTTGAGGCATGTACTTGTATTTGAACAAATCTGGTCTTTGTATTCAAATACACAATCAGCCGGGCGACCTTCAAGGCGACGCACAAAAAAAAAAGAACCTGCACCCCCCTTGAAGGAAACGACACGAAAAGCAAAAAAGCAGCTCTGCGCTGCCCTTGACGGAAACGACACAAAAAGCAGAAAAGAAGCTCTCTCTCTCTCTCTCTCTCTCTCTCTCTCTCTCTCTCTCTCTCTCTCTCTCTCTCTCTCTCTCTCTCTCCCCCCCCCCCCCCCCCCCCCCCCCCCCATGCATGGATCAATAGAAAAGGAAAGACCGCAGAAAGAACCAAGAAAGAAGAGGAGCAGATCACAAAAGGCAGTAGCGCATCTATCCACCAATCAATGTGTCAGCCTATCAATCAATCAAGACTACCTAACAATCAATCGATCAGTCTATCAATGTACCAATCAATCCATGAATCTATCCAGGGGTCTAGCAAGCTCATCTATCAAGCCCATCCATCAATCAATCAATCTCAATCAATCAATCTACCAATCTACCAATCAATCACATCTATCATTCTATCAATCTATCAATTTATTGTGGCAGCCACTGCATCAGATCCTGCTCCTCTTCAATTTTTTGCTCCTTATGCAGGTTGTGCTATGGGAGAATTTTTCCGAGACAATGGAATGCACGCTAATCACAATGTCTGCAAGAGTTTTAAAAGAATTTTTAAAGGTGGAAAGGAGAATCAAGGAAGAAGAGTAGGGGTTAGAGATCAGGAAGGGAATAATGCATCGACGAAGGCCTGCGCATCAAAGGGTTGCAAATCATCAAGCCCCTCTCCAACACCAACGAACTTCACGGGAATACGGAGCTCATCAACAACACTCACGACACATCCACCTCTGGCGGTGCCATCAAGTTTCGTCAGCACGAAGCCAGTCACACCGACAACCTGATTGAATTCACGCGCTTGAGGCAGCATGTTCAGCCCCGTTGTCCCATCAAGCACTAGCAACACCTCATGAGGGGCAGAAGGCATTGCTCTTGTTATGGCCCGTTTGCAACCCTTAAGTTCTTCCATGAGATCAAAATTGGTGTGTAATCTCCCTGAAGTATCCGCTAGAACAATATCCACATCACCATCGTCGAGCGCCTTTCGCACTGCTCGAGATAAGACCGAACCTGGTCTAGTTTTGGGACCTTCAGCCTGGACTATGTCCGAACCTGTGCGTGCCGCCCAAACCTCCAGCTGCTCCCCAGCTGCCGCTCGGAACGTATCTCCGGCCGCCATCAGAATCTTTGCACCCCCGTTCTTCAACCGATGAGCGAGCTTTCCGATGGTCGTTGTCTTCCCACCACCATTCACACCCACCACCATAATTACCCCTGGATGACTGCCTCCTAAGTTTAACTCTGTAGATGCAACCTCCTTCTGGGTTAACAGATCGAGGATGGTTTGCTTAAGTGCTGCCTTGATTTCGGCGCCAGTCTTCAGGTTGCCGGTTCGAACCTCCTCTCTGATCTTGTCAGTTATCTTCAGAGTAGTTCGAGGACCGAAATCCGCCACCAATAAGGCATCTTCTAATTCTTCCAACGTGGACTCGGAGTCACTCAAATTCCAATAAGTCAGCAATTCATCCACGAGCGCAAGATTATCTCTGGTCTTGCTCACACCGGAAAACAGCCGCTCGATGTCGCTCTTCGCCTTTTCCTTAAAAACCCGCCCAATGCGCTCAAAAAATCCCCCCCCCTTTGTCGCCCGCTCAGCCGCACACCTCACGCCCATTCGACCTGGTGAACGGGCATTATTTTTACCATTGTTAATAACCCCAATCGGGCGTGAAAAAACCAACCCCACCATCCCGTCTATTTTCCTCCCCCCCACCATTCTTTGCCTTCCGCTCTCTCCAGCCAGCCAATCATTATTCTCTGTGGCTTTTCCGAGCAATGTGCTTTCCCGTCGAAACACCGACACAGCGGTGGAAGTGACGGACGAGGAGGTGGTCGCTCCCCTATTTCGGTCACAAGAGTCATTGATTAATGTACTACCGACGTGGCAAGCAACAAGATTCTGACACGTGTCGGCGTGACATAATTTCGTACGCTGAGACCGAGCCGTATGCAGGCTGCTGGCTGTCGATGACCTTGGCGGTGCCACTGTCATCATCGCTGCCCCTGACGCCATCGCCATCGGGAAAGAGTGGTCCAGATGGATGAAGCCTAGACTAATTAATCGATGGCTGTGGTCACACAGGCAGTGCTCCTTTGTCGTTGATCGCCACACAGTCAAAGATTAGCATGGCACCTTTACAATGGGTGTCACACTCGTGCACAGAACGCCAAATGAAAGTTTTGGCAGGGGCAGTTTGAGAGCGGCTGTGTTCACCACAGTGACGTTCCAAAAAAAAAAAAAAGGAAAAAAAAGGCTTGGGCTATTGGGCCTCGCCGTACCACACACCACATGTGCCCAACGCCGCCGCCCCACCGCCTCTCACATCAACCTGCTCCCCCTGTTTCTTTTCGTTTCTCTTTGCCTGACCTGGGCCCAGTGCACCTTCCCGACACCCGCCGTTTAGGTCTCACGTGGGAGTGTTACATGAGACCTGGGTAGGTCTTGAGAAAGATAGATATAGATAGATATAGGTAGAAGAGATAGATCTTACACACACACATATATATATATCTATTTGACGATATATATATATATATAAATATCTATAAAGATAAAGAGAGATATAGATAAGTATCGACGACAAGAAGTGATGTTGTTGATGCTATTTATACCTCCTTCCTCCGCCCGATTGCTCCTATGAATCGTCTATGTGGGTCCTTCTCCTGCTCTGCTCTTGTTGGTGATGCTAATGAGACACCTGCTAACGATACTCACCTTTGCATCACTACTCACTAATCACTAATGCTCCGCTTTCATGGCCATATCTCACTTTTTGTTACATTTCTATGTTGTAAGCAATGCCTGCACAACAACGAAAAGCAGACGGAAATTTGAATGAGAAAACCCACAGCTTCTCTCCTTCCATTTATTCACTTATATATCGTCATTAACAGAACTGCCCGGTAAACCGTAGGCAGAGAGAGAGAAGAGGTCAACAAACGAGGGGCTGTGACAATAATTAAAAAAAACAGAAGCTTAAGGTTCTGGCTCCTCCTTTTCCATTCTGGGGAGCATCAGTCCGGTTCCTATTTCACCAGCAAGTCAGAAAGATTTACATTGAGTACTACTCACACACGCTCCTCCCCTTTATTTATTTCATAGTCAATGCAGAATTTTCAATTTTCATTTTTGAAGAATGAATGGAAAATTTGAAATCAAGTTACTTATTCCTGTTACTTGGTGGTTTTTTTTTTTTTTTTTTTTTTTT